GCTTATGCACGCCATTAATGGGTGAATCATGGTTGTTCTTTCTGGCATATTGCAGCATGTAAATTTTGAGCATTTTTGGTCAAGGACTTTTTGAGTTATTCACAAAAAGATTTGAATCGGTTAGTATAGCGCCACCTATGGACAAATCGTGGGCATTCTTTCTGGTATAGTTACTCATGGTCTCTAGTTGCAGTATGCAAATTACAATATTCACGAAAAGCTTTGTGGAGCATTCAAAGCATCAAATTGATTAAATACTGGCATATAATAAGTTCTGGAATATATTTCCATATCCTCATACTTCACTTTTCAATAATAATTACAATAATAATGATAATCTGTTTTGCATTGGGAATAGTTTATATAAAACATAGTTTATATAAGAATACACACATAAGTCTGCCAAGCACACACACATAGGGCTACATTGGACCTACTGCTCTACTATTAGACACAAAGGATGTCTTTAGTCTTTACTTTGGCTTTCGAGTTGGGTTGCCTGGCAGTTCATCGGATGAACTCAGCTAAATTTTAAAAATCTAATTCATGGTGAAGGGTCATGCATTTTCCACCAGTAACTTCGGAAAGCTCAAGGAAAATATTTGTGGCTACAGGGGGGATCAAAATAAAATAAATAAATAAAATAAAAAATCAACCAGCCACCCTCCTCCTCTGATAAGTTAAGAACAGTCCCTTCAGTGCGGTGAGGTTTGTGGACCGTTACCTGCCACAAAGAGAGAAATGTGAGCAGCTCGTTTCTCCTCTGACACGTCACATACCTGTGTGCCGCCATGTCTTGGCTGTTCAGGTACTTCTGGGCAGTCATGACACCAAAGAAGAGGAAATCATTGGACCTGGAGCCGGGCGTAGTGGCCATAGTAGTGGCCAAAGTGCTCCACCGTATTCCTGTCTGTGACCCCCGTTCAACCCACAACCAGCAGGATTCGCCTTTCGTTTCTGCTGTTGGCTGAAATCTGTACTTGCACAGCGTGCTCCTGAATGATTTCTTTTGCTCGCACAAAACTATTTTTAGTTCGGTGGCTGTGGATAACAGCAATGGATAATTGGATATAACGTCTGTCAGTGGAACGCGCTTTCAACTCCATACCTATCAAAGAAAGACCAGCTAACATTAGGCCTACACAGGATTAAAGGGATAGTGCACCCAAAAATGAAAATTCAGCCATTATCTACTCACCCATATGCCGATGGAGGCCCTGGTGAAGTTTTAGAGTCCTCACATCCCTTGCGGAGATCAACAGGGGGAGCGGCTAGCACACCTAATGGCAGACGGCATCCCAGACTAATGTCCAAGAACACAAAAATGAAACCACCAAGTATCTCCAACATGCCCATCCATAGTGATCCAAGTGTCCTGAAGCCCCGACATGAAAAGTTGTTTAGTAAAACGTCATATGAACTCTGTTTCTATCCTCATTGTAGCCTGTAACTCTGACTGCTTCTCTGTGCTCCGCGCTCACGTGTGCGCGCTCAGGGTGATCGGTGATGCACAGTCTCTGAAGAGCAGAAGTCTCGTCAGCACTGATGTCCAGATTCTCAAGTGCAGGCATCGCGAATTCCCAGTCTGAGCAGCAAAGACTCTCATCCGTTGGTATTGCTTTGCATCTGAAACAACTACACCACCAGGTTTCCAGTGCTCGACTCCCGTGTTCTGCGGCTGGCTGAGGGTTAGGCTCATGAGCTGCAGCGGCTGCTTCGTCCAGTAGCCTGAGTTCTGCGTCCGTATACACACGGACACACGTGTGTGTGTGTGTGTGTGTGTGTGTGTGTCAGAGCATGTGAGCGGAGCGGGGAGCCGGAGGATTTTGTGTTGAACGAGGAGCGGCTATTTTTTTTAAAAGGTGGAGTGGAACCTTATCTCTTGCTCCAATTTCGCTCCGGTCGCTCATGCCCCACCCAGAATGCATCTATGCACCTGCGCACACCCACACTATTTTCTTTCAAAACTATAGAGTTTACTGTGTACTTCAGAAAAGAAACTGAGAAGAAAAGCAGCGGTACCTTGGAGAATGGTCCCTAACTGCAGGGAGAGGCGAGAGGGCTTCGGAGGTCGGCCGCTTAACCTGGTCCGTCTCCTCTACACTTTGACTTATTTCCACCCTGCCAGCGGTACCGTGTAGAACGGTCCTTAACTGCGGGGAGAGGGCTTCCCCGGAGAATCTACCAAGCTCATGTTTTATTGGTGCCGTAGCATTGTTCTGACCTCTCATTAGTCCGACGTGTGATTATTACTGTATTTGTGTACCATAGAGGATCAGCAACGCGACAAAAGTAGGCTACTGGTCGAGATACAAGTGTCATAGAGAGGAGAGAATGAAACACCATAACCTCCTGTTATTAACTCTGGGGTCGGGGTTGTGTGGGGAGCTCTCCGCGGTGCTGAACTGCTCCCGGCGGGCGTATTTCTGCCTTGATGGTGCGCCGTGACCGGCTCTGGGTCAGCTGGGAAAGGCTTGAGGCGAAGCAGGCTCACGGCTTATGTGTTTGCCACTTTCTTTTTCATTTTAACCCACACCATGATCTTTTCCTAACCCTAACCAAGTGTTTTTTGTGCCTAAACCTAACCAGACCTTAAACACAGGGCATCATGATGATTTCGGAACAATGGGACTTCGGAACAATGGGACTTCGGAACAATGGGTTTAATATGGTTGGAACAATGGGTTGTCAGACCAATGGGCTGCCGGAAAAATGGGCAGACCCCGTTTTATTTGTGAATAGAAGATTACAGGTTAGGGTAGTACAACGCAGTTTTTTTGAGCGGAGTGGTGAGCGAGTGGAGCGGGATAAAATTTATGATGGAGCGGAGCGAAGAATGCGCAGAACCAAGCGGAGCGGACGAGCGGCGCAAAGTGACAGGTCTGCGAGCAAGGAGCAGAAATTTTCACCGGCTCCGCTCCGCTCACATGCTCTGGTGTGTGTGTGTGTGTGTGTGTGCGCCTCATAACTTGTAACTAGGGCATAATAGGGCCCCTCATAATAGCGTGCACTGGGGCCCATTACAACTACCTTGCGCCACTGGACCATCTCTAAATGAAAAGATGCTGAGAAATTGATTCATGCCTTTATTTCAAGCCCACGCGACTACCATAACACACTTTTTACTGGCCTCCTGAAAAACACCACTGAGAGACTTCAGCAGCTAGGCTATTAACCACAACCAAGAGGAGAGAGCACATCGGGCCAGTCTTAGCTGCTCTGCTGCTCCTGTTACATTTAAAATTGATTTTAAGGTTCTCCTTGTTGTAAGCACTTAATGGACTGGGACGAAGCCACATTGCTAAGTCCCTTGTTATCAATTTGCCTCCATGAACAGTGCGATCATCTACTGCTGGTTTAGTGGAGGTTTTCAGCAACAACTGGAAGATCGGGATGCAGCCTCTGTCAATTATGCCCCAAAGCTATGGAACACACTACCTGTAGATATCAAGGAAAACAGCTCTCTAAATATTTTTCAAAAGAAAGCTAAAATGTATCTGTTCACTTTAGCCTTTAACTAGCTCTGACTTTCCTGATACAGATCTGAAACTCTTTCTTTTTATGCTTCATGCTGCTGAAACTCTTATTTTAAATTGTGTACTTTTACAATTCTATGATTGTATGACCTTTTCTGTTTTATGTCCATTATTAACAATTTTCATGTGAAGCAAAGCCCTCATTGTAAAGCACTTTGTGTTGCATTTCTTGTATGAAAGGTGCTATTAGATAAAGATTAAATTTATAATATAAAGTTATAGGCCTCCAGTTTTCAGTTATCCATAAATCTTTATGTGGTTATGGTATTAAGGAAATAAGCTATTGTGACATATTTGGAGGTAGCTTCCCAACTTCAATTGCTTCCTTAAAAAAAAGAAGAAGGAGAAGAAGAAGAAGAAGAAGAAGAAATAAATATATATATATTTATTAGGACATTAACAGAAAAGTCGATTTGTTGATTTGTCGACGTCAGTGGCACAAGTCGACACCCCCCGGGAAGAGTCGACAAGTCGTGTGTTTTTTCCCCTCTCTCTCTCTCTCTCTGTGCTTGTGTACGGAATGCAAACGCTGCCTCTGATTGGATACTTTATCCTTTTTTTTTTTTTTTTCATTTTTTAAAGATATTTTTTAGGGCATTTTGCCTTTATTGGACAGGACAGGTAAGCATGAAAGGGGGAGAGAGAGAGGGGGGGATGACATGCAGCAAAGGGCCACAGGCTGGATTCGAACCCGGGCCGCTGCGGCAACAGCCTTGTACATGGGGCGCCTGCTCTACCACTAAGCCACCGACACCCCTGGATACTTTATCCTTGAGTGAACATACTCGGGCGTACTATTAGCGGAGCGGACTCTGCGAGGAATGTCCGCAGTCATTCGGGCTTTCATAGTCGAGCGCACTTCCGTGTTGTAGTTTCCTGTAAAAATGTCCGTGAAAAATCCCCGCGATGTGAAAAATACATGCCGGAGATACTTCACTTTCCTCCGCCGTGTCAATGTGATGACGTCATCAAATGACTTGTCGACTCGACTTAGACTTTATTGACAGATAAGTCAACCTGAAAAAATTCAAAACGGCTGTCCCATGAGTAGAGAGAGCTACAGACACAGTGGAGATAATGTTATATAAACAATGTTCGAAACGCTTAGTATGCTATCTACAGAGATAGCACTGGCGATCTGCACCGGTCAGTTGAGAAAAAAAACACTTTTAATGCGCAAACTTATACGGGACGCATTTGCCCCCGTTAATGTTTTAGCTTGTTTCGTGGCTCCCAGTTGCATCCGCCTCCCTCAATACTGAACCAATTTTAGAACGAGTTGTACCTATGAATCATACGCACACATACAGTACACATGGGGAAATAGGGCCCAGGTTGAAAAATACCGAAGTTATCCTTTAACTACTCAGAGGTTTGCTACCTGCCATCATTACAGCAGCAGGAAGCTGTTGCGATAACTTGACCATAATTTAGGTCACAAAGAAGAGACAAATTGGCATCATGTGAGTACAAAAAATTTGTAGATATTATCCTTTGTCCTTAATTGCATCACGTTTAACACATTAATGCTGACAACCCTAATTATAATGCAGTATTATTACAAAATTATCAAACATACTCTGAATAAAAGTTGATTTATAAACACTGTTGTCGGTCTGGTCTGTGCTGGTGACTACTGAAGGCAAAATGCAGCATTTGGTAGAAACACAGAGACAACATGTAAACTCAGTGTGCACTTGAATCTCCACTTCTCCCCCAACACACACACATCTAACCACCCTTTTGAGGACATACATATGACAAGAGAACATTAAGCATATTCTTAATAATGGTACCTGATGGATGGATGTCATGCGGCAGGTGGTGGGCCACGACCATCTCCCAGGCATCAACCAGATGAACATTCAGTCCTTTGAACATGGCTCTGAGCATCTTATCATGCTGCAGCGAGTACCAGTCACCGAAGGTTAGCGCCACGTCAAGTGCCAGAGCTCTTGGGTTCCCTGTCCGGATGATGACCACTGTGCCTGGAGCCCTGTCGAGCAGCCGCACCACTGCCCTGCGGATGTTCTGCAGCCGCCGGATGTACACCTCCATGGGGAAGGGGCAAAAGTGAGCCCAGATGCCAAAAACTACAACAGTAATGGTGCCTCCAATTAAACCATCTAGTTCATTGGCAATGTAACGAAACTCACTGATTGGGACAATGGTAAAACTGAGAGGAGGACCGTGGCAACGGAATGTCACCAAGATGTTGTTTGCATAGTCCAAGGAAATGTAAGGTCCAACTTTCCAAGGGCTGTGCAGGTCAAACTCCTTAAGATCTAAAAGTATGACAGATGGAACAGATTACACTGCAGTGTGAACAAAATCAAACTGTTGCCAGAAATCCTGTGGATCAGCTACCTGGTAGTATGGCGATGAGGTATTCAAACCACTGCCTGATGGTGGAGTCTCCATACATGTGGACCACCTTGTCTTTCAGACACTGACTGATGGCAGAAATGTTGAATTGGTAAACTGTGGTGCCATCCAGTGTTTGCCACAAACCCTGGTAGTAATAGCCAGAGGGTCTAGATGTCACATTGCTGCTCTTCACCTCTGGTTGACCTGAGAGGAAGTCAAAGGACAAGTATTGTCCACAAATCTCACGAAAAGACTAAAATCAAGGTCTCTCTTCCTTACCTGCTTTATCTGTGGCACTCTGCCTCAAGTCAATTTGTTACTACCAACATATATTTTCTAAACAGAACTGAGCACTGTTAGACTATTTTTAGCAAAGCATGATTACACATTTGGTGCACTAATGATAAGCAGGAGAGTGAATGTGAAAATGCATTGCAACAGTGCCCACATTCATTGTGGCAAAAGAACATGCCACTCAGCATAATGGTGTCACTCATTGATGTATTTGTCATAGTTGTAGGAGCTCTGTGGCACAGAGGAATAATAATAATAATGATTAGGGCCTAAGCACAAAAGAGCACTGAAACTGCGAGGAACCTGTTGTTTTAGTGGAGATTACTATTATGATTATTAGGGCCTGAGTATGAAAGTGGCAGGGCCTAATGGTCCTAGGAGTGAAAGTGCTAGGAACCTATTGTTTTTGTCAAATTTTTTTTTTTTTTTTTGGGCTTGAGTACTGAAGTGTGAGAAACTGTTGTACCCAAGTTGCCTCAGCTCGAACCAGAAAAGTAGACTTTTGCATTGACCAGTACTTTGCAAGAAATTATTTTCATTATTAGGTCTAGAGCGCTGACCAGTGCCCATCCCTATTGAGGCTGAAGGAATCATCATCATCATCATCGTGCATACACTTTTTGGGGTGCAATCTCCGGATACCTTACGAGGTACCCGTAGCCTTCAGCCAGGAGCAGATGTCCTCAGGTGGTACCCAACCTTCATTGAGTGTTTCGACCCTTGACCACAACAGTCTCCATTTGGTGGGCCAGCAGCGGTGGCCAAGTCACTGCCCATTTCGCTCCTGGCTTCCAGCTTCCCTCTTCCTGTCTACTCCATATCCAGTAGGAAGCTCGTTATGCCTCCCCATCCTTTGAGATGCTTGTTTCTTGCGCCTTTCGTCCAGGCACAGAGCTGACAACAATCCCCATGCTGACTTGGCTGGGAAACCTCTGCAACTGATCTCCACAAGGAACAACTATGCCTGCCATTCCTAATCCCTGCAATCCTGAACCAGGGACTGGTACTTTCAAGGCCTTTCTCTCATGGGCCTCTTCGCATCACTCCTCCCATGGCACTGTCAGTTCAACCAGAATTTTCTTGTCTTCTTTTGACCACAATACAATGTCCAGTCAGAGGGATGTGTGCACCACCTCTGGGAACTGCAGCATTTTCCCAACATTGCTCCTCATCTCCAAGGAGGTGGCAGTTGCTGTCAAGTTATTCTGTCTGTTAAGCTTATGCCCAAACTTGAAAATGGCCTGGTCAACAATAAATAGGCACAGGAACAACTCTTTTCCTCTTCACAGTTTTATTTTGCCATTAGGGGTATAATAGGTTGAAAACCTTCAAATAGAAACAGAAATTTACAATCATCAAACAATGTTTTAACTCATTTTTAAATATTCTAAATAATATAACTTTAACTTAAATGGTTTTAACTTGCAATATTTGCTATTTTAACATTTCAAACATGCTACATCAATGCATCTTAAATGACCAACGTTTAAAGAATGCAGTCGTACTGGCCTCCACCTGCCGAAGGTGTTTCAGTGTGTAGACTCTTATATTACAGAGGAGCACTCCAAAATATACCTTCATAGTGTTTAGCTAACATTGACTACTGGAATGCATATTTAGTGAGCAACAAACTACTATTTTGGCAGAAGCATATGCACTGCAATACAGTTTCTTTACACACAGGCCATTTTGTTTCTTGAAAATAATTAATTCTGATAAATATCCACTCCTTGTTAAATATTGTATAACTTACATCAAACTCTAACTCACAGACAGAACATTTATTTAACATCATTGGTTACTTTAACATTGAAGAGTGAAATCAATGTGTAACCTGTAGCACTTTAAACAGTACAGTATTTTAAACAGAAACATAAGTAAAAGAGAAAATCAAATCTAAGCAAGCCATTTCATTCAATTAATTAATTCATTCATTAAGACAGTAAACATTTTGTCAGTATCAATTCATACCAGTGGCCTCTTTGTGGTTTCCCCCAAGCTGAACAGTTGTCTCTCTGTTGCCTGCTGCAGCCACTCTGAGGTGCAGAGTGAATCTGTTGGTGCACTGCAGACAGGTGCTCCCACTCAGCTGATGAGCTGATCAGCCTGGAGTTTCCTCACCTCAGCAGGGAGAAATGTACTGCTCCACACAGCCTTCACGGGGCAGCATTACTGATTGACTGGGGTGACTGATCTGACACTGTGACTGTGGACCTAACAGTTGCAGAAGATTTGGCTTTGGTCTTTTGGTTGAGAAAGGCCTGGGCCCCTCCTTAATGAAGGTGATGGCCTTTATCAATCTAATACTGGTTGGCCTCTTCTTGCAACTCTCCTACTTGAGTGTGTCAGTAAGAGACAAGAGGCACTTTGTCATGGCGCCCTCTATACCGTCCATGGGTTAGAGATGTTTTGCAGGCAGAGAGTATGTGTGCAAATATCCCCTTTTGACCACAGAGTCTGCAGTTTGGGTCCTCTCTCAGGCCCCATGTGTGCAGGTGTAATGGTGAAGGAAGGATTTCGTACACAGATTGTAAGAGAAAGGAAATACAGAGGGTCTCCAGTCTCCACATTCCTGCCCATGAGATCTTGTGCTTCAGCAGGTCCCATTTTTTCCATGCACCCTGAGAACCTTTTTCTACTGCTCTTGCCATCCGCCTTTCCTCCTCGCAGGCCCGTACTTCTGTCTGGACCATGTCTTGTCTGTTCCTTATGTCTACATTTCCTCACTGCTGAAAGTGTGGAGAGCCAAGTCCTTGCCGCTCAACACATGGGTTTCCCAAGACGTCACTCACTGCCTGCTCTAAGGCTGCACTGACTGCTCACTTTTGCCCAGATCTGGTCGTCACACCTGCATACCTGCATACTAGGCCGTTGTTGGAGTCCCTCAGGCTTAGTAAGACTCTGCATTTAGCCACCCTGAATTCCTCCACAACTGACAACAGGAAGGAGCTGTAGTTGCCCGGAGTGGAAATGGAGGCCCACTGATTAGAAGATTGGAGGAATTCCCAGCCATCTACGCAGGGGCTTGTTGGTTTTCCTCTTGTTGCCCTCTACAACACTCATGGGGAAAATGCAGATTGAGACGGCTATTTATGTTATTTACCTGGGTTACAAGCACTCACTTAATTTCAGCTTCTATTCAGTCTTTCTGTGGTGCAACAGTGGTCTGTTACACTCACCACTCCACTGTACAGGCAACAAAAGCCCCTTAAGCAAATGGCCAATAAGGGTTAATATGCTGATGTAGCCTAATCTGCACAATAAGATGGACAGACAACTAAGGTAAACACTGAATGGAACACATTTCATTCAGGTGGGATATCTCAGTATCTCAGGCAAGGCTGCAATGAAGCAACAAACACTGGAGAGTAGTCTCCTAAAGAAACAGAGAAATCCCCTCAAGTAACAAGGCCAAAAGGATTACAGAGAGGGTCTGTTATTGTGTACTTATTTTGTAAAAAATAATAAAATAATAATTTTAAAAAAACCATAAACGAACAGCTCAGAGGCATTCATTGCTAATGGACGGTAAACACAGCCTGTAGATTGATTTTATTACGCTGTAGATCATGAGGCGGCATGATGGAGTGAATGGGCGTGTCTTCTCTTTAACAGGAAGAGTAAAGTTACAAAAGCTGTTACGTTAAGGTAGTGAACAATGTTAACGCATTGAAGAAGTTATCATTAATTACTTCTGTGATACAGCCACAAATGTTATCATACTAACATATGCTAACTTAAGCACGGTATACACCGTCCAATTCTGGGCTATCCCAGACAAAAGATGACCAATGGCGATATCTTTGGTTGTAGTTGTTCAACGGTGGTCCTACGTCACATAGTGAGAGAGGTTCAAGGATGGCCATTGTCACGTTCTTGCGATCAAAGGCAGCCTGGGATAAAATTCTGCAGTGTCAGAAATTTGGGATGACCATCTCACTGTGTGACTGCTGTTACGACCTACATCTACTAACCAACCAATAGAAATGCAGCATTAAAGGATGCACTGGTGCTAAACCCAATCAAATAGACTGATAGCAGTTCGCCTTGGAGGCAAAACATGCTAAAAGAAAGGTGTGGGATTCCAGCAAAGAGGAAAACCTTGTCAAGTTGTGGCAGCAGAAGCCTTGCCTGTATGATGTGTCCTCCAGCTCTTACCATGATCAGAGGGACAAAATATGGAGGGAAGTAGCAGCAGAGTTGCAGCTGCCAGGTGAGCAACCTAGCAGCTAGCAAACACACACACACACACACACACACACACACACACACACACACACAGACACACCACAGTATACAGTGCCCACAAAACTTGAGGTTATTTAATAATGTGAGCCTTGTTGTGCTTCGCATTTAGAGAAATAATAAACAGAGCTGTGTATCGCCACTGATTTCGTAAATTGATTCGATTTTGATTCACAAGGTCCCGATTAGATATGATTGTTGACTTGATTCAATATGGATTTGACTGGGGATATTTCAGTTAAAATACCTATTTTTGCTAGTGTGCGAGAGAGATTCTCAGAGAAGTAATACTGTAAATTTTACAAGGAATTCTTTCAAAAAAGAATACATTCAGTAATAAACTGAATATTTTATAACCAAATCTTGTTTCTAGAGCAGCAACAGTAATATTAAAACAGCCACAAATTGAACCCAATATCTCACTGGAAAAAATCTAAATCAACACAAACATCAGTCAATGTCAGCCCTTCTGTCCTCTCTGCTCCTCCCTCTACTACTGAGGCGAATCACTGTCTGCAGGTAACATTACCGTTGGTAATGTTAAGATCAGTGGCAAACTAAGCTAAGCCATTAGACATAAACAGTTGTTTCAGCTTGTTAGTAACAATTTGCTATTAGATGGAAAGCGCTCTGTACTTGTGTATAACATAATATTAGCGGTGGTC